CCACACTACAGTGCCGTGCTGTCTCCCCGGCTCACAGCAACCTCAAACTCCTGGGTTGAAGCCATCCTTCTGCCTCAGCCTCCCGAGTAGCTAGGACCACAGGTGCCTGCCGCAACACCCAGCTAATTTTTTTTTTTTGTATTAGTACAGACAGGGACTTGCTTTTGATCAGGCTGGTCTTGAACTCCTGAACTCAGGGGATGCTCCTGCCTCAGCCTCCCTGAGTGCTGAGATTAAGGTGTGAGCCTCTGCGCCTGGCCTTGAGAGTGCTTTTGAACCAGCACTTGCCACCATTTACTGAAGAATAGGTATGTACTCCGTCATCTCTAATTGTGTTTTGACCCTGCAGAAAGCAGAGTGGTCCCACGCACGCTTCTCTCAGTGGCTGGATGACCATCCATCTGAAAAGGACAGGCTCATCCTCATCAGGTAAACCATGCGCTCCAGGGGCAGCCATGTGGGCTGGACGGGGGATGCAGGGCAAGGACGGATCAGGCCTAGGTGGACATGGACGTGCCATTGTACCTTCTGGGGACAGGCCATCGCCCTGCACAGGCACACACCTGAGCACCCAACCGCTGGAACTGTTGGGCATAACAGCTTCCACCTTCTGTGTCTTCTACTTCTAAACCTCCACAACCTCTTGTGCATGATCCCATGCCTATGCAGTCCTAAGGACCGTGCACTCCAAGCTTCGAAAAGCAACCTCCTCCATGAAGACTTTCCCTAGCTCCATATTTTCTGCTTCGTTTTGATGTGTTGCAGTTACTGAATTGGTGAAGCATAGATGTGAGTGAACTTTTAAAAAATGTGCAAGGGGGCATAGTTAATTGGAAATAAGAACAACCAAGCAGCCCCTTAGATCCCATGTGCCCGCCAGTAGTGTCCACGATGCCTTTATGTATATACATATGTGCACCCTGCTCCCTGCACCCCAGCCGTGCCAGGTGGAACCATGTCAGGGAACTGTCACATATGGCTGAGTAAGCACGTCTCTTCCATCAGTGCTTCTCTTAAATTGCTCTCACCAGAATCACCAGAGACCCTCCAGCTCCCTAACCTAGCCATTCCTACCTGATGGCACTGCAGCTTCCACTGGAGCTGACCATTGTTTCCTTCTTTAAACACATAAACTGACTCAACACATTGCTCTTGATGCCAGGCTCACATTTTGTGGGCATGTGAGGCCCTTTGCTAGCAACTGAGGCTACACAGTAAACTGAGGGACAGCCCACTAACACCATAGTCTTCTGTTTCTGTTCCAACTTCTCTAGCCCATCTTCCTTCCTTCCATTTTCTTACATGCTATCATCTCGCTGGCGCCCTACTCCTTTAAGCCATAGGCGCCTCCCTGGTATTTTGTTCTTCTCATCCTGTCTGTGCATTGGTCCCCAGGTGAGCTCATCCAGACTTATGCCTAATGCCTCTTCTGTCCTCCAAAGCCCGGTCTGTGACTCTCCAGATTGTACAGGGCCTCAGGCCAGTAAACTTTCTATCATATGTCACCATTGAAATACCCTACAGAAATCTCAACCCCAAAATGGGTCAAAATTTTTCTACTCAAGCCTTCTCATTCTCCCATACTCCCTGTGTTGGTTGTGAGGTCACCACTACCCAACAGCCGGGCTAGAACACCTTTAAAACCTCATTCCACTCCTGTATCACCCTCATT